ATAGTTGACCTTGAGCTTTGAAAGCTGCATCGACTTTAGTCTTAAAAATATACATACAATAAGTCAACTAATTTTATCAATATATTGAAAAGATAATGCGACATTAAAAATTAAAAGATAGCGTGAATAAGCTCGAAAAAGACACATTGCAAATGTCTGTCGCGTCTACATATTTCCGAGCTTATCTAAGTCAGCCGTTTCGTCAGTTTCGATGTGTGCGTGCGCCGGCGCAGGTTTGTAGACACCTTTTGTTTTGGGACATTTCGGTTTAGGGATTAAGCCTTTTTATTTAACGTATTAATTTAAAATGATGAGATGTTATTTACTTTATTTATGACTGCAATTAGACACTAATTTATTTACCTCGTTGATGCTAAAGATGTCTACTTTGCAGTTGTTAATGTGTAAAGGACATGTTAAAAAAAATTATCGAATATGGTATTTAAAAATGAATTAAATAAATGTTTATCGTTAATAATGTTGTTACGTATTAAATAATTTACTTGTTAACATTTCATGCGTGAAAAATCATCCTTCCAAATATGTTTTACTTCGCGGCCTCCGTTTCCCTTACTTTTACAGCTGACTTCAGTCTATCATTACTTCATCTGAAAAGAGAATTTAACCAATATTATCTCGTCAAATAATTGTTTATTTTTAACCAAAAACAAAATTAAACAGTCAATTTCCTACATTCTATCCATAAAATATAAACAAATCTAGATGTAGCATGTTCAGGTTCTGAATCCGTAGCGATGTTTTTTTGTTTTAATATTTCGGGAATAAAAATATTTCAATGCCTCTTTAGACGATATTTGTTGTCTAAATATTTCAATATATTGATGTCATAAATGCTACATACTTTTGTTTAATTCTTATTGGAGTTTCTTGATGAAAATTGCATTATAAAATTTTCAACGATGCATATAGCAAGACATTAACACCTACCTAAGAATTCACACACATGTGCATTTTTAATATTAGTATATCTTGTGTTTGTGTTTGTGCACGTGTCCGAATGTTCCGAGTTCACTCACCAGCGCGGAGGTGCTGGCTTGTACTGAGGATATTGATCCTAACACGAGCTGTTCCGCTCCACAGTTTTGCATAGATCAAGGTAAAAGGTTCAAATTGAAGGTGATGTTGAGGTGAGCAACGAAACACTTGAAAAATATATTTTATTCATGCAATAGCTGTCTGTGACTTGAGTGGAAATTCGATTCAATTTTCAACACAAATATTGTTATACAATATTCTAGTCATTGGATTTAGAAAAACCTTTTGGCAGGCTTAGAGCGTGTGGATACCTGAAACTAAAGTACACAACTGTTTAGTCTCGCTTCTATGAGCGTATATGGAGGTACGCACATTTGATTATTAGTTGTGCAATAAACAGTTGAATTGACATCGAAACAATCGACCATCGCACAACAGTTGTGCGATAATTTAGTCCAAGGTGTGCGCGAAGGGTGTGCTCTTAAAAAACACTAGAAATTTGTATAGGCCTTCGTCTTCAAAAATACATATCCGTCAACAACATTAATTCATGGTCGGAATCATGCAAACGGAAACGTGCATGCATGTTTTTGAAACCGAAAGCATACACAAGCTTCTGAATCTTTGTAAATTTTTACATTATTTACAGCTGTCTGTCTATTCTAAAAGTCATGTTTAAACAAAAGTTGTATTTTTTTATAACATAAGGTACATAAGTAACATAAGTACCCTATGTATAAATTTAATTTTCTTACTAATATTATAAATGCAAAAGCTTATATGGATGGATGTTTGTTAAAGTTTGTAGCCTAAACTACTGAACGGATCTGGATGAAATTTGTCATAGATGTACAAGATAGTATGGAAGAACATATAGGCTTTTTTATACAAAAAGGTGGCAAACGAGCAAGCGGCCACCTAAATCCGCCAAACCTACCTTGCCTACCCTAAATCGACGAAGGAGGAGAAGCACATAAAAAAGATCTTTCTCCATCCTATGCGTCTCCTCCACCGTCAAATCCACTTTTCCGTCCATCCTTCTCTTAAAGAAAAAGATGGGACGGGAAAGGGACTAAAATTGGGCCTCCAGCACCACACTCATCAGACGAAACGCGGAATTGCTTCCACTTCACGCCTGTCTTCTGTGTGGTCGTGGTATTGCACCGGGCGAGTGAAGAGTTAGGCTACTAATTATATTGATGAGTAAAGAATTACATGTATATTTTGTATGAAATAAATAACCACGAATATCAGCTTGTTCATAAGCATAACAATTCAAACCCTCAGCATAGACTGTTCTAATAATAAATGTCCTTGCAACATCCCAGCGGTTTGATTCGTAGACTGCGAACGATTCTAGCGTGCTCTGACCTCTATTGTAATGTTCTAGGAGGACAAACGGACAAAAACATTATTCAGATAATTACGCATCAATTGTACAGTCTGCCACGACTGTAGCTATGTTTATTAAAGTCTATACATATAAATAAATATCTATGTATGTTTAAAATAATCATACTTTATTTTAGTATTTTAAATGTGATCGTTTAAATGGATGGATGTTTGTTAGAGTTTGTAGCCTAAACGGATTTCGATGAAATTTATTACATATATAGAGGATAGTCTGGAAGAACACATAGGCTACTTTCGTTTTTCTTAATTCCACGCGGACGGAATCGCGGGCGAACGCTAATGCGTTTACAAACAATTGTGATTTTTTTTCATGAAACTTTAGATCTTTATATGCAAAAGGTTTATGCTTCCAAAATACTTTATTACACAAGTAAAATGGAATAAATCCTAGCTACGGAAATCGGCGATTTTAATCTCCAAGCGACATACACAATACAAACTCATAGAGTGTACGCGACGTAGGCATTTGACTAAGACTAAAATTGCAGCATTTGATATATGTACGTAGCGAACTGTAAACTGTATTAGTATGTGAGTCCATGAATAATAGACGAAGTGGGTGTAGTGACCGTGGTCGCGGCGGCCAAGGTGGACCCAAGGTCGACACACCGACGCTCTATTGTTTGTCACACTAACACACTAGTTAGTGTTACAAGTCTATCACTTTTGTAACTCTGTCAAATACGTTTAATATTTCATACGTATAAAAAAATTAAATGCGTTTTAAGGTTTCAAATATATAAAACCTTTTTGTCTATTTTTTCATTTGTTCCTCGTTCACAATTATATTTTTTTATACAATTTTGCATTACAATGTGTAATTAAATATTTAAATTAGGGAGATAGAACGCTGATAGCTTTGAAGGATAAAAATAAATTTATTCGCATTATAATGCCAATTATTTTTTTAACATAAATTCGCTCCTTACAATTGTATAATTAATTTAGTAGCGTTTAATATTAAGTTTATAACTTGTACCATTCTATATCCGTATCTCGCATGCACACTAGTATATAACCTACCACAACGTCCGCTCTATTCGGCACTAACATTGACCTTCTACGTCTAGCGGGCGATAACCCGCGATAGATCGCAACACACATTGCTTGTTTTCTATTATACACTTCTGTGTGATGTCATAGATTTATTTAGCATGTATTTGACACTAGCTTTTGCCTGCGACTCCGTCCGTGAGGAATTAAAAAAGATAAAAGTGAGTAGCCTCAGTGGTTTAAGCACTTGACTTGTAATCTACAGGTCTTGGGTTCGAATCCCGCCGCCATGTACCAATGTGATTTTCAATTTTTCGAATTTTCATATGTACATAATTTACCCGACGTTCTTACGGTGAAGGAAAACTTCGTGATGCAACCTGCACATATCAGCGAAGAAATTCAAAGATATGTGTGAAGTCAACCAACCCGCACTTGGCCAGCGTGGTTGACTATGGCCTAGTCACCCTAACTTTAGGGTAGGCTCCGAGCCCCTCGGTGGGGACGTATAGTGAGCTGGTGATGATGATGATGATGATGATATGTATTCTTCTAGACTATATTCTACATCTATGCCAAATTTCATCCAGATCCGTTCAGCGGATTAGACTACAAACCCTAACAAACATCCATCCATCTAAACTTTCGCATTTATAATATTAGTATGAAGTATGATCAGTCGAGCGACAATGGCTGAGTGCTACTGACTACTGACTTGTAATCGACAGGTCCTAGGTTCGAATCCCGTCGTCTACTAATGTTTTTCAAAATTCAGATATCATACATAATTTACCCGAATGTTGAAATAAGTTGATAAAACATGTGAGGTTTAGTATTTAGGTCGTCGGGGAAAATACTACATTGTTAAGTATTTTGTTTGCCTTTTATTAAATGTAGCGATTGCTCGATCTTTGCCCCAATATTTTAAAATAAGTTAAACGCTCTATTGTTCTTTGCGTATTGTTTACAATATAAACTTAATACATAAATTATAAATTTTTGAACATTTTAATACTAGCTGTTCCCGTGCGACTTCATCCGCATAAAATTATGAAAATTTTATTTTATTATTACGACGGATGGATGTTTGTTAGCGTTTGTAGCCTAAACGGCTGAACGGATCTCCATGAAATTTATCACAGGTTTAGAGCATAGTCTGGAAGAACACATAGGCTACTTTTTATCTCGGGAATAGTTACGGTTCCTGTGGGATTCATTAATTTAATTTTTTAATGTTAACTCGATCATTCTGCAACGGTACAACATATCTTATAGAAATTTGGCACAGATATAAAACAAAGTCACACACGTGGGTTAAGGTTCATCCCCGAGTAATGTCCGGTTCCCGAGGGATACGTAGCTTTTTGTTATTTATATATATTGTATGTAATGTTGTACGTATGTTTTGTAATTTCGCGAACGAAGTTACGGGCAACAGCTGGTTATGAAATAAATGTAATTTATTTAATTTTATATCCGTCTGTACTGTCGTATTGTAAATAATAGTTCAAAGCGACAATGAACATTGACATGTCTAATGCGTTATTCAAATTAATTAAAATGCAACGACACGTTTGAAATAATGTAGGAACAAAAACATGACGAATAGTGAACAGTTGGTGGCGTTGACCGCTGTAGACCAAGGTTACGAGGTCGCACTACACTAATACTGCCAATTGACACATCTATGAAAACAGGACTTGTAAAAATATAACTCTTTTATTTTATCTATTCCAAACACAGTTGTTTTTATAAATCAATTTCAAACATTATTAACACGCAAACTTAAAAACATTTGCATAAAAAATTGCAAGAAATGAAAATAAGAATTTAATTTTATTTGCTGACGACATCGTATTATTATTCCACGGTGATAATTGGCAACAGGTGTATGAACATGCGGAATCAGGACTCAAGAACGTGACAGCCTGGCTTGATAACAACTTATTAACCCTTAATGCAACAAAAACAAATTATCTTTGTTTTAGCAAGTCTAGCAACCATAATCTAGTCAATCACGGACTAAAAATCACACTACATACCTTTGCATGCAACAAAGAAATAACGAAGGAGTGTACCTGCAACATACTTACAAGAGCAAAAAGTATTAGATATCTCGGTGTTCATGTAGATGACACTCTAAGCTGGAAAGACCATATCACACACATTTGTTCACGGGTCAGGAGGCTAATTTATATATTTAAGCAACTGCGTACCGTAGCAGACGTAAGAACTCTTATCCTAACCTATAGAGCGCTCTGCCAAAGTATCTTGTACTACTGTATCACAGTATGGGGCGGGGTGCCGAAATCAAGACTGATTGACTTGGAAAGGGCACAAAGAGCAATATTGAAGGTACTAATGCGCCTCCCGTACCGACACCCCACCACTGCTCTGTATGAAGAGTCAAGAGTGCTTTCTGTAAGGAAGCTCTTTATACTACAATCTCTTTTAAGGCTCCACCGCACCACAGCTACACTGTTAATACACTCCTCAAAAAGAAAATTTCGCTGCCCCATTCCCCTCACAAAAACCAGCTTTGCACAAAGGCACTACAACTTTCTTGCGCCCTGGATTTATAATCAAGTACAAGCGCAGAGTGATACCAACATTGCATCTCTAAGCTATTTCACTTTCAAAAAATATATCACACAATGGCTAATATCACTTGACTATGATGGTACAGAAAGTTTTTTTAAAAATAGTTCAATAAATTAAAGAATGTATAAAATTTAGTTACGATTAAATATAAAGTAGTTAAAAAATGACATAAATATATGTACATATCTTTACAAAAACAAACACTTACATACATATATACACACACATACGCATGCACACGTTCACACACGCAAACACACACAATACACCAAGTAGCTTATAACATAATATTTTTTTTTATGTATAACTCTCTAATCTTATTTTGTAACAATTTATTTTAAATTCCGCAAGACAATCATTACAAGAAGACGCTGCCTCCTGAAACACAGTTATCACTAGCTCAGGAGACAGAGTCCCACTAACTGTACTAAACTGTTTTAGTTCAATAAAGGATTTTTATTTTATTTTATAATTAATTGAATAATCAGATTTGAAATACGCTTTTTTATGACTTCTGGTAGTTAAAATTTTCAACGAAATTTAAGACAGATTTAAGGCAATTTGTTTTCAAATAAAGATATTGCATTATAAAGTTAATCGGAAATTAAAAATCTAATCTTTCGTCCACGGTATGCATCTCTGTGTAAGAGAAATGTAGATATGCTTATCCCATTACTTAATAAATCTTATTAATAGTAATGAAATTGTTATTAAAATAAAAATAAATCTGTCCGTAGTACTGACCGCATGGTCACCACACACTAGCGCCGTGCGGCAGGTCGCGGATCTATGCGACAACACCGAAATAGTCAGATTATCTGCCGAGGTCACGTCTAAATGACGTGTTTCTAACATCATAACGCCTAACACCATTTTCGATTTTATCTTATAGTTTTGTAAGCGTTTATAAAAAATAAATAAATTCAAAATAACTGGACCGAATGCAAATATAGTTTTGTCTACATATCTACCGGACGAAGTTTTTCAAACCGTATAAAATATATGTTACTCACTGATACTAGTTTTTAAATAAGCCTAGTGGTTTTTGAGTTATTTTAATACGTACAAAAATACAAATCTTTCTTAATAACATTAGTAAAGAAGAGATAAACAAACACACACTAAAAGGTGACAAACAAAACTGACCAGGACTTTTTTTTACTACAAATGCGTCTGAAAATTAATATTTCCAAGAATTAATTAATCATATTGGAAGACACGAACTTTAAAGATTCCCAGAATTGTTTTCCATATTTTCGTACTTAATGGAAAAGTTTTATTACAAAATGAGGATAGCCACATAATTGCTAAAATAATATTTATATATTTGTTTATTTTTTAATTCGAAACGAATTTTTAATTCCACGCCGACGGATTCGCGGGCGAAAGCTAGTTACAAAAACGACTATTTCTTTAAAAAAATACCAGATGATTATTCAATCAGATCTTTATCAAAGCCAATTGCTTAGCCAATTAATCTGTGTTGAGCACATTTGACTAAATTATCGCACAACTTTTTAGTCTCGCTTTGATTACTTTCAACCTCCTTATAAGGGAGGTTCGCACATTACTCGATTTTTAGTACGCTAAACAGTTGAATCGGCTGCGAAACAATCGACAATCGTACAACAGTTGTGCGACAGTATAATTATACCTATTTATAGATTTTAAAATAATAAAGTTGCAATTTATTGAGGAAAATAGACTGCAGTTTTTATACATAAGTTAAACCTAAACAAACATGTTTACTCGCAGCAAAGGTGAAGGTGAGATAGTGTTTACTACGCCAGCGATATCAAACTAATTTATACTAATGAAGATATGTAGTTATAAGTGTCCATTATTTATTTAACTATATTATAGACAATATTCAGAATATGATATACGAAAGTAGTCATACTTTTTTTCCATATCTATACTATTATAATAAAGCGTAAACACACACTTCTTTGTTGCCTAAGATGTCAGCAATTATAGCATATTTTTGAATAATTCTATTTGTAATAAAAAGCCCTACACTTACGTCATGCTTTAGGGTATATATTTTCACACCATTAAACAGGGGGTTAATATTTTGAATAAAAACCCTAATGTGGGAAAGAGACCATAAGTTGCTGTCAACATCAAGAAAGCAAAATTGCCATAGTAAGGTAATTGGTATTTTGACATTTGCAATTGATTATTTGACACATGTAAACAATAAAATAATATTTTCATAAGTTTATGCGGATGAAGTCGCAGGGGAACAGCTAGTTTATGTTATAAAGAATCCTAGAATACACAAATATTATAAAATATAGTTATAAAACTTTGAATTTCATATTACATATTTGTATAAATCTGCAGCCGTGTAAAAACATCGCAATGTTCTTTACATCCAATAAAAAAATATCACATTTCTGAAATTGTTATGTTATAAACATTAAGGGTGAGTTGCATCAAATCGCCGGTTATCGTAAAAGTTATAGTTATAGTTAATAGGGTTACAAGTGCAAAAACATATTCTCACAGAGGTTTTATGTGTTTTTCGTTTTTACAATGGAAACATTTAAACCTGAATGTCACTAAAGTGTCAAGTTGGTGTCAAGAATGACATTTACGTAAATTAAAATGTTTGGAAATTCATGTTTCGCCGTATATATTTATGTATCATACGCATGGTATTTTATAGTGACATAAACTTTTTGCCCACGGAGATGGAGAAAATGGCAAACTCTTGTGAAAATAAACTAGTTTGGGCCATTATTGAAACTGTATTTACTTTACTACTCAAATATGTAGCAAAAATGAAACAATAAAATTATACAAATATAAATGCATCTTATTTATTTGCCATATTAAAAATTGTCCTCTCAATGCATATTATAAATTGTCCTTTTATGGAGGACATTTTTTTTAAATAAGAGAAAAGGGACAAGCGCTGTTGCTATGGCCTTAGACACTCGAAATTTGTCCAAACTGAATGATTGGCCAAATTTCGAGTTCCATCTTGGAAATCCATTATTCCCGAGCACGCAAGACTTTATTCTTCTGGATTACGTATAGGATAATAGTAGAGATTTTCTTTTTCCATTACTTTTTCCATTATTTGTACTTTTGAAGATAAGAGCTTGTGACAGTTGACACTACCGAACTGACACTAACCGTAACGCTAATTATAACCGCCCAAAATCGGGCGGTTATGATTAGTGTCATATATGACGTCATTTTGACCAGCGCAAAACTGGTGTAGCGAATATCATGAACATCCGTAGACGTAACCATCGTGAATGTGCTGGTTAAGGTTTATAGTTAGTTAATGTAACTCACCCTTAGTAAATTTTAAGGTTATTCCAAATATTACCGTTACAAATAATTTTAACTTTAACGGTAACCGGCGATATGGTGCAACTCACCCTAAGACGGTAAATTGTTGTCTTGAACGAGCACAGAATGAAAAATAGCTACATAAATATAAAACATGATAAAAAAATATTTTCCAGTGTCTGCTAAAGGCCCTTTGAAAAGTCCGTGTGTAACAGCTTTATTTAGTAAATCACTAGCTTTCGACCGCGAATCCGTCCGCAAGGAATAAAAAAAATCAAAAGCGAGAAGCCTATGTGTTCTTCCAGACTCTCCTCTACATCTGTACCAAATTCCATTGAAATCCGTTCAGCCAACTCTGACAAACATCAATCAATCCATCCATCTAAACATTTGCATTTAATTTATTACTATAACTAGCTGTTACCGTGCGGCTTCATCCGTATGAAATTGTAATTTTTTATTGTTTACATTTGTCAAATTATCAATAGCAAATGTCAAAATGACATGACATGACAAACCTTAGCAATCATTCTTTCTTGATGTTGGCAGCAACTTATGGTCTCTTTCCCACGTTAGGATTTTTATCCATAATATTTACCCCTAAGTTTAATTGCGTGAAAATATATAGCCTAAAGCGTGACGTAAGTGTAAGGCTTTTTATTAAAAAAAGTATTATACAAAAATATCCCGTAATTTCTGACATCTTAGGCAACAAAGAAGTGTATGTTTATGCTTTATTATAATTGTATAGATTTAATTCCATACCGGTTATTTGTTTTAAACTGAAAAGTTAAATAAAGTACTCATACTATAGTTAGTTACGCATATTATACTAGCTGACGCTGACGGCTTTGTCCGCTAATGAATTTAACTAGTGACTGTCTATATCGCATTAACTTTATGTGTGCGTTTTAACATCGTTTATAGTATATGTGTTAAAAAAAATACGTTCCTTAATAGCTATAAAAAGAGCTACTAACTATAAGATGACCGTTTAATGTAAAAACATTTAATAAATTCAACGCTAAGTTCTGACAATTAATAAAAAGTCGAAAAATTAAAACTGTACAATTTTAGGTAACACTGTAACTGAACAGTTGAACTATCAGTTATCATTTTGGCCACACTATCACTGATCAGTTCGACTGTTCTGTTAAAATAGAACTTGACGTCTGCAGCGGATTTTAATGTCTGTGTTTAAATAGATATATCTACTTTATTCTACTCCCGTTTGTATATAAAATGCAAAATTGCAAATAAATAAAGTAATTCTCGTATGACTTCTCAATAAATAAGTATAAAGCATATCTACATATGCTTGTGTTCGCAGAGCTAGTGTGTGCAAAACAAAACGCTTCCTTTGTAGCGTACAAGGCCCACATCTGAATCCGTGGTTCACGGTCGGTCGGTCGTTACCACTTCTAAGATCGACTACCTACTCGTCTCAATAGCTCCCACATAAGTTATGTTTTAGCGATTCATTTTATTTTGCGTGGCATTTGGCAATTTTCCTGAATTATTTTTAAACTTGTATTTGAACGAAAAACATACGATAGGGTTGAAACTCCAAGGCGAAACTCAAGACGTCGGGAATTATATCTATACTATTATAATAAAGCGTAAACACACACTTCTTTGTTGCCTAAGATGTCAGCAATTACAGCATATTTTGGAATAATTCTTTTTTTAATAAATAGCCCTACACTTACGTTAAGCTTTAAGCTATATATTTTCACGCCGTTAAACTTAGGGGGTAAATATTTTGGATAAAGACCCTAATGTGGGAAAGAGACCATTAGTTGCTGCCAACATTAAGGAAGCAAGGTTGCTATGGTTTGTCTTAATGTCATGTCACTTTGACATTCATCGAGATCCGTTCAGCAGTTTAGGCTAAAAACTCTAACAAACATCCATCTAAACTTTCGAATAATAATAAAAAAATATATATGATAAGTTAGAAGTAAGATAGTAATCAAAATTACTTAGTATCTGCAGCGTTAAATATAAGTTGAACGCGACATTTGACCAATACTGATTAGGTAGCAATTAAGTAAAAGTTTTAAAATTCTAAGCGGC